TTTTTTTTTTTTTTCTTACCAATAGTCTTGCATGCCCTCTTAGCTCCTGTCTTTTTATGTCTTACTCTTTGTACTTTACCAAAACTTCCTTTCCCTATAACAGCCCCAATCTTATAATCTTTATATACTTGGCAAACCCCATGGTAAGCTGGATACATTATATGCGACGCTAGCTGAACAAAAGGGGGAAAAAAGAAGAAAAAAAGACTGGATACCCTTATATAAGGAAATACAACAAATAATTCATTACCCAACATCCAGTACAGGATGTAGCAGCAACTGCAGCAGCAGCTGCTGCTGCTGTTGCTGCTGTTGCTGCATCGGGTGAATAGAGATATTCCTTTGGTGTGTGTACAAAAGAAGTACCCAATAGATCTATTTATAAGAAAATTATTAATAAAAATAATAAACAAATATACCTGTACACTCTGCTCAGCAGGAGCACGATCAGGCGCAGGATGAAGGCGGAGGAGAGGAGGATCTGTAGGTGTTGATGCATCTATAGAAGGACGAGTTGAGCCCTAAAAAGCAGCAACAGCAGCAAATGCAACAGCAGCAGCAACGGGAGCAGCAACAGGTGCAGCAGCAGCAACACGAGCAGAAAAAGGCAACAAGCATTTTATTTGTTAGGAAATGTTGGCTAAGTATTCTTCTTTTTATACAGGAAGGAAAGAAGGGATTTATTGAATAAGAATAAACAACAGCAAAAAAAGGATTTTATTGCATAAGAAGGAAGAACAACAAAAGAAAAGTATTATTGAATAAGAAGAAAGAACAAGAAAAGAATAAATAATAAGAAGAAAGCAATGATTGTATACCTGAGTAAGAGAGAGGCGTTTGCTGCGGTCAAGAATTTTGTCATAGTGGTAGGCGTGGTACTGCAAAGGAAAGAAAAAGGAAAAAAAAAAAAATAATTTTGTTGTTAATTGTATATAATTTAATAAATAAAAGGTTGTATATTATATATAATTAAATAAATAAGGAAGAAAACACAATAAATGAACATAATTGGCAATAAAGAGGACGAGAGGAAACAAGGAAATTGAACAAAACGTCCTGCAGACTCAGGACTCAGGAATGCAGCATAAAAGAGAAGAGAAAAAAGAGGAAGAAAGAAGGAATAAATAAAAAAGAACAAAAAGAACAATAGAAAAAAGAAGAAGAAAAGAAAGAAGAAGAACAAGAAAAACTCTTATATCCCTTGCTTGTTGGACAATTTCTTCGAAGGCAGCGCGATCAATCTCCCCATCTCTGTCTACGTCAAAGTTTCTGAATACTGAGCAATAGCAAAACCCTAAACCCTAAACCCTAAACCCTAAACCCTAAACCCTAGATTCACCATAAAGTGTTGTTGTTGTTCTTCTGGTGGTTCACAGAGGCATTCTAAACCCTACTGCCTAAACCCTAAACCCTAGATACAACAACCGTATACTTGAACTAGTGCTTGAGGGTTTGCTGAGGGTTTGCTGAGGGTTTGCTGAGGGTTTGCTGAGGGTTTACGGATGCAACAGGGAGAAGACACACCTGCTGCATACCACTCGCGATCGGGTAGAGGCACAACAGGCTGCAATCTTTTGAAGGCGAACTCGAGGCCCTGAAGGAAGCAGAAGCAACAGGAGAGGAGCACAAGAAAAGAAGAAAAAAATAATTATCTGCACACGTTGTCGCAATAGAGCTGCAGCAAGCCAACAATTAGAAACAGAAAAGGAAAAGGGGGCATAAAGTTGCATTATTTTCTATTAATGTTTTATTTCTTATAGACTTTTTTTCTTATTTAAATGCCTATTATTTTGTTATTTGTACATACTGCTCCTGCCTGCATGAGGTTAACACGATTCTTCCCGTGGCTAATGCTGATAAATGCCTCATGAATAAGTCTTTGCAGCATTTGCTCGTTATTTTCTACAAAAGGATCGGCAATGCGGAGTTTCCCCCTGCTGGTACCCGGCATGTTCAACAAAAGGAGAAGGAACACAACCTTTATCCTTTCTCTTGATCAAGAATAAAGAGAGGCTCCTGTTAACAACGGGGTGACTGTAGTGTTGCTACTGCAAAGCCCTTGAGGCACTTTGGCCATTCAATTCAACACCGCTCCCGTGGCTCCTACGGTGGCCACTGGTCACCACCACTGGTCACCTCGCGGTGATTGGCTTGAATATGCGTTAAGTCTAAGCAGCAGGCGTACTGTACAGGCGGAAAAAAGCAGTCAAACACTATAAAGGGGTTCGTCAACCCTAGGAAGGCCGCTGTAACCGCAATAGGAGCACCACTGCAGTCGGCGTTCTTTGGGGCTCTTTGGGGAATAAGACGAGAACAGCGAGGTCTGTAGAGTCCAACGCAGCATTCTAGCTGAAAGGACTCAACAAAAAAGAAATTAAAAGCAAAAATACTCTTATTTATGCCATTTTAAATGAATTGACTTCTAAAAAAACATGCCTGAACAAACATCCGACCCGAATGCGTGAGTGGCGGCCGACTCATCAGCCCTGTTGTCCAACTTGTAGGATAAAGCCAATCTTCGTCTTGAAGACATATGATTATAAAAAAGTCCCTATTGTTTTAATTTAATAAAATTGCAAATGTTCAAAGATTTCATTCAAACACTGCCGTGGACGCGGACGCGGGAGCGCCCGAAGGACGGCGCACGTTATGCCCGATCTGCTGCTGCTCTTGCGCCTACAAAAAGGAAGGAATTCTTTGAAACAATCTACGAATACTGGATAAATGTAGAAAGAAAACTCATAATGAGGTGTAATAATTATATTTTCCTCCCTTTTGTTGCAGCTGTTCAGGTCACTGCAGTATATGTGTGCAAGAAGAAACCACCGAAAGCGCTCTGCATGAAACTGCTAGACCCTCACCACCACCCCGTTATGTTAAAGTCTGTATTCTCCTTTAATTTGCTTAGAAAAGAAAGGTTTTTCTTATTGTGACTCAAATAACATTCCTGTTTGCCCCTGCAATTCCCGTGCGCTGCCCCCTCGCAAGATTACTGCGGACTTCTTAGAGTTACGCCTACACAGAAGAACCCTTTCTTAAGGAACTAAACAAATCACTTAATAAGATAATAACAAGAATATAATTAGGGAGGGTATTTGCCAGCCCAGCCCTAATTTACTATCCTGCATGTGTGCTAAGGCAGCTTGCATGCATAAGAGAGGCATACATATAGACAGGGAGGAAAGTAGCCATTCTTTTATAAATTATTGATGATGGATACGAGCAACATATATACTATTGTGTGGTTAGCTCCTACAATATACTCCTTTTCTTCTCCTCTTTTGCAGGTTTACAACAGAGGCCTATGCATGCATAAATTATATTGAATTATGTTTATATGTTTGTATATTTTTTTTCTTGCTGTTGTGGCTTAAAATATGTCGGTGTAAATGCATGCAGTCGCAGCATCCATTTGCCTGGAGGGATTTGTAGCGCTGCCCAAAGGGCTAAACCCTAAACACTAAACCCTAAATCCTAAACCCTAAACCCTAGAGGAGAGGAACCAAGTGCCACTGCATGCAGAGCATAAAGGGTATTTTCTTTATTAGCACTTATTTTTGGACAAGAAAGGAGAAGCTTCTTCTCTTCTTTAATAGAGGTCTTGTCTAATCTTCTGCTGCTGTAGATAAACTACTTCGCTGCGTCGTGCATGCACAATGAGTTTCTCCTTGGGTCCCATGCATTATGGCGAGCGTTGCGCTGCATGCAGCATCCTTAACTCTACAATGCATGCGTTTTGTATTTTAGACGGAAAAGAAAAAGAATATGGGGCTGCGCAAGCCCCACAAACTCATGCATGGAGCTGTATAGTGTTGTACTGCGCATGCAGAGATTCTGTTATAGCCACTACCCGCGTAAGCGTAAGCTCAGCTTCCTCTACTCAGTGCATGCAGTGTGCAGCAGATGCAGCAACAGCTGCAAAAATCCCTCAAAGAGGAGGCAACAAAATAGGTTTGACTATTATGCATGCACAATTATGTGCTGCAGCGGGATGCTGGGGCTTCCTGCTGCTCTGCTGCCCTACTTACACATGTACACGGTAGAAAGCCACATAGGTTGGTATATGTATCAACAAGGTGGGTATGCATGCAAACGTGCATGCACGGACTGCACCGGCTGCAACACGAGCAGCAGCAGGCTGCGATCTTCTGCTCTTTATGCCCCTTTATGTTGTTGCTGTTAAAGAAATAACAACAAAAGAATAAAAGAGTTGCAGCATGTTTAGTTGTTGTAGCTGTGCAAACTCGATGATGTTACAACCTAGGTTGTTGGGGATGGTGAATCTATGTAAATAGTGTAAATAACCATTAATTTTGCCTAAATATTGCTAAATATACTTTATTTTATGATTGTAAACATAAAATGCACTAAAAACTGATATTTCATGTGATGGACAAGTGCAATGATTCAGTGGTAGCTGAGCTCGTGCACCCAGGGCTCCCTGCAGCATGGGTAGTTAAAGTTGCTTCCCTAACAGGAGGTGTTAAATTGTTTATAAATTACTTCTCTACGAATGTAAAAGAAATGTAATGAAGAAAGACAAATAATATATAAAGGACAAAACAAAGGGGAATGCAGAGCCGTGTATGCTACTTGGTTTTCAAAGCCCCAAAGACCCAAGCGCATGCAGCAAACGTTTCTATAGAGCATGAAGATGAAGTTGGCCTCCTCTTCTCCTCTTTGCAGCATTTGCGGGGTTGTTTCGTGAGTAAATAAAACATTGATTTGTTAAATAAAAAATAAATTTTTTTTTCTCTTTACAAACCTAGCGGCGGCAGCCGTATACCCTCAGCGGCGAGCAGGCGGTTGCATGCTCGGCAACCGGCTCGTCCTCTTGATTTATTCACCATTGTTTCTTCTTGTTGTTATTTTATTTAATTAATTTACTTTATTTAATTTGCTGCTCTAATTACAGCTGAAGGGCGCCGGCCAGGCGCCCTCCCCTGCCTGGAAGTTTTTTTTTGTCGTGTATGCACCGTGAGGTGTACATACACCTGAAAACGGTATAGTTGAATACAAGGGGAATTATGGCTGTCACTGGCACTTCAGAAAGAGGAAGGAGGGTGTATGGTACGCCTTCTGGTTCCTCTGGTGATGCAGCATCAGCAGACAGAGAGAATGGGGTTGAGGAGGAGGTGACATCTTTAAAGTCTGCAGAAGCAACAGCAGCAGCAGCAGCAGCAGCAGAAGCAGATACATCATTAGATTTAGATGAACTTGTTAATGATGATGCAGATATTGCATTTGAACAAGAATTAAGAAGAGATCCTTATCAAGTAAAAGTATGGCTTGCTTACCTAAAGAGCAGAACAAAGGCTAAGCCCGCTATTCGGTACGTTTATGGTGTATGTACACCTTAACTATTATCTTTTTCCTCACATTTTATATAAGAAATAAATCATTTTATATTTTTTTTATCTGGTTTATGATGCAAGGAGGAGGACTATGTTTACCTTATTATTACCCCGCATGCAGTATGCAGCATTCTTTCCTCTATCCCTCCCTCCTTGTTCTTTTTGTTTACACTTTATGCTGTTGTTTGTTTGTTAATATTATTCCTCTGCTGTTTTTATTTATATTTATGATAGTTTATTATTTATAATTGCTTAATAATTATAATATATATTAATCATTGTTATCTTCTTTCCTCTTATTTATTCTTTTTTTTTTTTTTTTTTCTGTGCAGGTTTGTTATATACGAGCGAGCAGTTCGTGCCTTACCTGGTAGTTATAAGTTATGGCGTTTATATTTATTAGAGCGTGTACAATTATGTACCCAATTGGGGGCCCCCCCATGGAGTCCAAAGGGGGCCCCCTTATATGCAGCAACGAATTCAGCTTTTGAGAGATGTTTGCTGCATTTATCCCGTATGCCTGAGCTATGGCGTATGTACCTAAAGTTCCTGCAGCAGCAGCAGCAGCTAACTCGTTGCCGTAGGACATTTGATGCTGCATTAAGGGCATTAGCTGTTACACAGCATGAATTATTATGGCCGGATATGATCGAATATGTCAAGGTAATTAGGGTTTACAAGGGTTTACAAGGGTTTAGGAGGGTTTAGGAGGGTTTAGGAGGGTTTAGGAGGGTTTAAGAGGGTTTATGAGGGTTTAGGAGGGTTTAGTAGGGTTTATGGTGAATTTATTTATATAAAAATTAATTGGAATTATTTTCAAAGAATTTTTAAGGGTTTAGTGTGTATGAGGGTTTATGAGGGTTTATGAGGGTTTATGAGGGTTTATGAGGGTTTATGAGGGTTTAGGGTTTAGGGTTTAGGGTTTATATATATATA